ACACTTATTTCTTTGTTTAATGTCTCTGCATTTTCTTAGTAGTTGTGCTTTGGAAGTTGTTTATTCTTTCTTACGCTGTTTTTAATTCTGAACGTAATTGTGCTACACTTGTTTCTGGACTGGGTCAGGTGATTTCCATGTGGATTTGCCAAGCAGAGATTTTGAAAAGAATGGAAATGTCAGGCCTGTTTCCTTGACTTCCTTTTTGGGATTATTCAAGTCTGGGGCACGGTTAAAGAAATATATAGATAAATATTATTTTCATTGATATGTAAGAAAGAAAAATCTATAATGTGTGGGTGATGTTAGAGAAATGAATATAACACTGAGGTGCGTGTTGGCTGTACCCTTACTGGGATGGTGCTGGCAGGACCTGAAGCTCTGAATATGAGGGGAAAAACTTAATTCTGACCATTACACAGACGTGTTTTAGTATCATGCTCTTCTGTCATCTTACCCTCACCCCGGTGTGTATACATCAGTTTCTCTCTGAAACAAATATTTCAATAAAACACACGGAGAGGTATCTGTAGGGTTTGTTTCCGAAGAGGCACAGTGCCTCCTTGGTTAAGAGGACCTCATACTAAGCCCTTCAGGTTCAGAGACCCCTTCTAACAAAGCAGTGTGGAATGACTGGCTCTCTATCCATCAGTTGTTGTCCATTAGTCACGACAAGTCTACTGATGCCCTTTTTTTCAATTTGGATAAATTCCATTCGTGCTGTGATGTGGTTCATTCACAAGTGGGCTGTGTGGATTTGAAAATCCATTTGTTGTACCTTAGGAAATAATAATTGTGCTTCTCTGTATCTCTGTGAGGACAACCAAGTGTTAGAAAGACTTTAAAGCCTCATTGGAAGAGAGCCTTCTTTTTTCTGAGAGTAGCGTTTATGGTTTGTTTAAGGTTATCAATTATGTCTCAAATAAAAAGCTCTCTACAGATGATCATTGTGCTGTACTTTGAACTCATTTAACTGGACATTATTTACAGAATATTTATCTTGGTTATGGCAGTTCTTGTCACGCAGCGATATTACTTTTCCATTATATATTGCATGTGACCGCCGCATAAGTTTGATAATAAATGTTGGGAAATAAAAAACAGAGTAAGTGCCTCAGTATGATAGCAATTCCCATGTGATGGGAAATAATGTCATAAACTTCAAATTACCTTTTAAATAAATGTTTACGTCCAACCCATCCATTAGATCATAGCCCGAAGGGTCAGGAGGATCATTTCTTCATATTTCTCTGTATGCATTATGATTGCTTTTTTAGGTGTAAATGATGTTTTTAAATGAAGAATGGCACCCAAACTATACACAAACAAAGGCTAGACGTTACAGAGTCGCAGTATGGCAGAAATAGCCCCAGCCACTCTGCTAAATATAGAAGTGCAGCAGTAAACTGAATTCATTCTTAGCAAATATTTTTAATGGTGCATCTGCTGAGACGATACAGAAATACAGCTGTTTGTTTCATTCATGCTGTTTGAGGCTTTGACGTTTTAGCCAAGTTCTAACTCTAATTATGGTTTGGTAGGTGGTAGTTTGCTAAAAGCTTAGGAGAATAAAGATTTTGGAGAACTGGAAAGAGAATTACCTGAGTGTGCGGTGAGGTGCACAGATGGCAGGTATCCTATAAGTGAGGTTTTTAACCTCCCAGGGCTTTGTGTGCTTGTGACGTGATGACACCTCCATAAGTGCCCAGGGATGGGATTTCCCTTCTAACACCAGGTGTGGAACAGCCCATATTCCCCATGCTTTTCATAGGGCCAGAGCAGCCCTCCTTGAGTGTGATGCAAGCCTAAATCCCACATTTAGATACGTACGTACTTTGAGCTGCACCTCCCTAGTCCCAGTGTCCTGAAGGAATCCGTTTGCACCCTCCAAATGCACTCTGTGTTGAAGTTTCTGTAGATGGTGATGTAGACGAAGCCTGAAGGCTGAAGAGGATCACTTCTTCGTATTTCACTTTATGCTTTATGATTGCTTTTTTTAGGTGTAGCTGATGCCTTTCAATGAAGCACCTGAATTGTATGCAGAGAAAGGCTAGGCTGTAGATGGAGCTATGCTAGAAAGCCAAAGGGTGTCAGGATGGTCAGGTTTAACAGTGATTGTCTTGGAAGAAGCTGCAGATGTCCGAGGCATGTGGGGAATGGCAGGTTGCTCAGCCTGGGCTGCTGGGAGTGGGGGAGGAAGGGCTGCCCAGGGCCATTGGACCAATCTGGGGATAAATTAAAACAAACAAAAAAAAATCTGTCTACAGGCAGGGAACAACCCATTGTCTTGAAGATTTAAAACACCAATCAAGAAGCGCAGTGGTGATTTTGTGTGACTCTGATTTGACCTTCCTGTTTACATTAAACATTTTTTCTGGCTGTGTACAGTGACATGCTCGCTTTGTTTAACGTGTTTGACAGTTACAGCAGTTCTGGGAATAATTGTTCTGGTTGTATATTCGTCACAAAAGAAACATGTTGATATTTGGGATAAAGTTACTCTTTAAAAAAAAACCTTTTTTGTATTTGTTGTGTTTCTCAACCTTTCCTTCCTTTGTGAGGACCATTAACATGTTAAAATCTGTCTGGAAAACAAAGATTCTCGGTAGCATTTTAAATTATTTGTCCAAGATGTTATTTTTACTTGAAAGTTAATCTAATCTAGCACCAGTTGGCTATAATATTATTTATTTTATCATTAGCATTTGCATAAAAATGTTAAATTAATTTCATAGAGTTCACTTGTTCTTGATTCTTTTGTTAGCAGAGATCTATAATCCTTTCCACAGCAACCACTTGTAGAAGCAGAGGATTATGACTTGGGGCAGGATATGAGCAGCAGGAACAGATCAACTGAAAAACAAAGATCCTGTTTGAGTACAAATGCTATTGTTAGTAGAGAGTTGGAGTGAATCAAGTGGCAGGATGTCTAGCTGAATAAAACAAATTCATATCTGTGCCACGTGGCATGCTAGCCAGAAGACACATCTTAGCAGTTCTGTGATAGACTACGTATTTTTATACCTTTACTTATTATAGTTTTGCCTAGTTCAGTCAGCCACTCCCTCTGAGAGTGGCTGGTATCTATTTGAAGAGCTTTCTGGTTTTCTCAGGTGTATTTTTCTGTCTAAAAAGTTTCTTTGTTATACTTTTCCCCAAATCTGCTAAAAGCCAGGATTTGAAATTGCACTGCTATAAGGTCATTTGGAGGTTAACAATAGCCATTTTGGACTATTGTTGTCTTTTCTGATTACATGTGATCCTCCAGAAAAAGAGATATCTTTTCTTTGTCCTTATATTTAAAAAAATGTATAATAAAGTCTGGTTTTCTATATATTGGTAGTTCAACTGACTTATTTAACATTAATAAATGCGACTCAATTTCAGATTATTTTTGAGATTTTTTTTCTAATATTTGGTCTATTAAAATAGGTAAGAAGTTCAGTAGAGGTAACAAGTGACAGAAGATGTTCTAGTGGAAGCTAGGGAAAAAAAAACATAAATACTGAATTTTGTAATAATTTGTAAATACTGAACAATTCTGCATAAGCACCTCTAATGACAAGGCAGGTGGAAGCTTTGGTAGAAGACAGGCAAATGGAAGATGTATGGAGGGGTCTTTAATCATTGCCACATTGAAACAAGAGGAGCCTCCATACAATGGTTTCAGTGGTTTTGTCTGTTTGCATGCTTGCTACTGCATGGATTAGGATCCATCTTCAGTACCCTGACGTTTGCAAGGTTAAATAAAAACTGTTCTCCTAAAGTTATATTTCTAACTTCTGTATGGAAAAGATTTTATTGTGCTTGATATATGGAGTTCTTCACATCATCCTACTGATGGCACTAGGGCTGTAACTGTATTATCAGTGAATAAGAAAACAGAGGCCGCAGCATTTCAACAGTATGAATTCTTCAGACTGTATTATTTTGTTAGCTCGAGGCAAAAAAATGTGCTCTTAGGGCTCATCTGTGCAGAATGAGTAATCCACGACAAATGTGCAGCCACACTGCGCCTGCAATATGCCCAGATCCCATGGACTAGCCAGTCTTGCTGTGCAGCACAGGCAGCCAAGTGTCTCTCATGGACAATAGACATATGCTAAAAAATGATAATTTTATTATACTCTCTGAGATTTTACTACAGATAAGTGATTCTAAGAATATTACTACAATCACAGAAGAAGTGTGGGTCTGTTTATCCCATTTAAGTCAGACTTTTATACTGAAAAGAGTTGCTTTTACCAACAGAATTTTCTGTTGCCTAACCACCATTCTGTGAATTCTTTTACGTGAATTCTATGCACAGTGAAAGTGAAATGTGAGTGAAAATACTTATTTGTACTGCAATCTATTTTGATGTTTTTACATGGCTCGCATTAGGGTGTGTGATAGCTCAAATTTTCTTTCTTTGCCACAGCTGCCTAAACGGTACAGTGACAGATTTCTGTTTTTATTCTTCATTAATGTCAGTCTTCATCCTCTCTGCCCCACATCAGGGAGGAAGCATTGTGAGTTTGCTGTTTTAATGAAGAGAAATGATGCATCTATCAACTAGAATTTATGGTGGAGGGCACATCAATTCAGTTGCCTTGCTGAGTTTGCATATTTAGGGCCAAGTAGTGCTCTCGATTACTCCCGTGCAACCCCATTAACTTCAGTAAGTCACACAGTTCAAAAGTGGCTGTGCTGGAGGTGAGGCAGTGTTAGGGAAAAAGGGATCTGCTGGAAAAGTCAAGCTCCAGAGTATTACTCTCAAGGCGATGGGTACACAGTCATAATTAAACTTTTGAAAGGTTCGGATAGACATCATATAGTAATTTCATTGAGTATTTAAACTTTGTAGATACAGAGAGCCTCCTCCATCCCCCCAAAAAAACAAACAAAAAAAAAACCAACACTTCCAGCCTGGAAACATGTTGTAAATTGTATGTCTCCAGTTGAGTGTATCCTGTAATTATTCCTTAACTGTAGGTTGTTTCTTCCTTCTCTCTCCACAGGAGCTGTGCCGTCAGCGCATGGCCGTGAAGACATCTGATCGCCCAGAGCCCCTGCATGCCTCTCGAATCAATAGTGTTTCCTCCCAGTTCAGTGATGGGCCCATTCCCAGCCCCTCAGCTCGCAGCAGCACGTCGTCCTGGTGCGAGGAGCCGGTGCAGTCCAACATGGACATCTCCACCGGCCACATGATCTTGGTAAGGCAGTTTTTCTTCCAGGCATGTGAAATGTCAGAATGTGAGGTGCCCGCTCAGCTTTTGGTAGGAGTTAACTTCTTCTACACAAATGGAGACTGCCTTTTCACGTGTAAAAATATTCCTGAGCCTCCTTGGTATTCTGAGCTTTGTATAATTAAAATAAAGGGATTTTTATTTTCATTTCTTTCTCATTATATTGTTTATTTTTCTCTCTGGGGAATATTCTTTTATCTTGGACATACAAATTGTTTGTGTGCTTGCTTCAAAAAGGATAAGTCGTGCTTTGTCCTTTTGTGCTGTTAATTTATGTTTAACTCCATTTGGACAGCTGAAGAAAATGCTAAATTTCTGATCAGGTTGTTTCTTGTGTGTTGTTATTGTGCGGAGGTGTCTGAGCTGAGAATGCAACAGAATATTACATAGTAATATGGAACAATTTCTTTTTCATTACCTCTGGAAAGAGACCTTAACTTTGTTATTTTTCTCAGGTTTTCTTCCTTCTAAGCTGGATCTCTTTTATGTTTGGAAGGATACAAATATATTCTCTTAATGGAGACTGATTTGGAAAACTTGGGTTACTTCCAAACTTAATTTGAGATTAGTATCAGTGGTAGGAGATGGACGTATGAAAATCCTCCTGTATGCATGGAACAGCTCTAGCAGTCCAAAACAGAGGCCAGTGGTCAGGACTTGCTGCTTGATTCTGTCTTTCACTTCTAAGTGTCTACTGGGAGAGCTGTGGGGAAATCCCTGGGTTTTGTGCCTTATTTTACTTCTTTGCTGTCTTTGTAGAATGCATTGAAATGGACTGAGAAGTTGTTAGGTAATGGCAAAGATCATGTTATTTTGTGTTATTTCACTTTCTGTGTTTGATTTGTGCTATTTTTTAGTAGGACTTCTTTCAAGTAAGGACCGTTTCCATTTGGTGCCATTGCCATGCTTTTGGACACTTCTCTTTTGACTTATTTATGCACCTCTGTGCACGTCTGAAGATTGACCTGTGGGTTTTTTGAAAAGGAAGTTTGTCTTCATGATGTGATATTTTGGGGTCATACTTTTTCCATTTCTTTCTCTTTTTCTGGATTTATATTTGAAAGTACTCTTGATAGACCTTCTCTGAGTTCTTTTAAGCAATCTCACCTAACGGAGAATGGAATGAGAGCAAGCAAAACCCAAAGAGCTAATTTGACCCCAGCCATGTTACTGACCTTCTTCAGCCTTGGTCAAGTCAGCTATAAAACTGAGCAAAAGCAGGACAAGTTTGAAAAACAGACTCTTTATCCCAGAAAGTCATCCTGAGTAAACACTTATTCCCTATCCCTGCAAATATTAAGTTTAACACTGATGTACAACTGCAGTTTAGAAAGGGTTTTCTGCCATGGCAGAAAATCGTATGTCACACTTCCTATTGTCCCACTTTTGCCTAACTGGAGTGAAACTCACTTGATTTTTCTTTCACAGTTAAATAAAATGCTTGAGAAAAAAAGTATTCCAGTTGTCCAACCTCAAAATAAATCCAAATTCCTGTGGTAGTGTTCCATATTTGTATGGAAGTAAAAGCAAAATTTCCTATATATATGGTAAAATGCATTTGATATTTCCAAACCATTCCAAGTACTTGATCAAATCCTTTTCTTATTCTGGATATGGGAATTTCTGCAAAATTACAGGAAAGCTATATGAAAAAAAAGTCTTTAAATAAACTTTTAAATAGAATCAGATGGGCACAAGATCACTGTTATGGTGTTCAGTGTCCATAATACAGTCAGTGCTGTTTAACCCTGAATGAACTCATACATATGTTAGCTATCTAAGAGCATGTGTTGTATCTTAGGTGGTGAGGGTTCAGGGAAGGGTAAAAGAAATGCTGTAGTGTCTTGAGAGTACAAACCACACAGAGAGAATAAAAGTAGTTAATTTGTGTAGTCTAAACTGGATAAATAAAAGCCAGTGAGTCAGAGAAGTCTGTGTATTGTGCTTTGAAATATGGGATGGGGAAAAATTGTTCTTAATGGGCACAGATGATACAAATAGGAAAAAAAATGTGAGTTAGAGTCAAAAGGATGCATTTAGCTTGGATATCAGGGCAAGCCTAATAGGAGGGTCAGGCGGGCACTGGGTTGTTTACTTAAGGGAGGTAGTTAAACCATAAATTCATGATTTGATGAAGGCAAAGGCAGGTTAGGTTTACATGGGAAGATCAGCATCATGCAGTTGCAGCACTAGGGCAGATGATTGGACTTGATCAGGATTACTCCTGTTTTGTGTCACCGTGGGTCACACTGAAACCGGAGAGCTGGCCCAATTTATGTTTTGCTCAAAAATAAATGCATGTGTCCTTAATACCTTATTTGCCTGAATCTCTCCGCCTCTGGAGAGGCAGATGAACTTCAGCAATGGGAAGACTCGCCAGACAGAGCTCTTCCTGCCTCTGCCCTGCAGCTACAAGTTGAGGGGAGTAAAAGGCCCCACTTCACATCTTATAGATCATTCAATGCAAGAATTTTCCCAGTTCTTCCCATTTCCCGCTGCTAGATTCCTCTCATCTTCTGAATTTTTAAAGATATTTTTTATGAAAGATATCTCAATGCTTGAAAAAACAACAAGAAATATTAGCAAGGGGCCCAGCAAGGATAGCAAATGCCATCTGCTTTGCAGGGTAAATGCACTTATAGCTCTATAAATGTGTTTTTCAGCTCCACAATGTGTGGCGATGTAGCAGTTAGCTGAGTTAGGGCTCCTCAGCCTTTATTGTTCATAGGTGCCAAGGCCTCCCAAGAGAAAAGGAAACAATAGATTACTGTGTAAAGTGGCAGCGGGAAATATTTTATTTTGATTTATAAACAGAATAAATCTTGAATGGAAATAACTTAGAATAAATAAACCTGCAACTGCTAAGTGACTCCACATAGTCTCTTTCTTGCTCACAGGTACTGTTGGTCAGAAATGCTACCGTAAAGCTCATTTAATTCACTGGAAAAGCCTGGTTGTACCTGAAATGTTGTCCAAACCACCTGAACCTTGAGTTTGTTGGAGTCTCTGGTTGGCCACAGGTACTTTTTTTTTAGAGGACTAGCTGCTTGTGGTTAGCTGGTCACTTGTAGCACTTGAGGTCCAGGAATGTGAAGAAACCAGGAATGTGCCAAACTCATGTGGCTGTGGGGCAGTCTCCTCAGGTAGGATTAAATCAGTCTTTGAGAGTAAAATCTTGCATTTCTGTCACTTTCCTGTACAGCAAGGGCAATGTCTGTGCACTGTTGACAGTAGCATGAGGCAATTTGTACTATTGGCAGTGGGAAGTAGGGAGGACTCAGGATACCCAGAAGGACAGCCATACCAATGTTCCGTGCTTTTTTCCTTTTTCACGTCCTTTTTCCTCACATTTGCAGCAGGAGGGTGGCCCATATGGCACTTTTTTGATTCTATCATCTTTCTGAAAAATACAAGCACTTTGGAAAATGTAATTAGAAGAGCACATTTTATGCAGTCATGTTTGTTGCACTGACTGGCTGGTTTCAGCACGAGCAACAACAAAGAGGTGCCCTCAATTCAGTCACTGTTGTTTTGCAAGAAAATGATTGTTTTCCAGAAGGTCAGAGCAAAGGAAAGAGCAGAAACTGGGAATCAGATTTCCATCCACTTTACTCACATGTGTACATCCGTATTTTATGTTCCATGAGAAGTCCTAATAAAGTATCAGACTTCCCCCTGTAGTCCAAGAGAAGAACCATAGGGTTCTGAAGGTGTCCAGGAGATACATGGTATAATTTACTGGGACTCCTAATTTTACCTACATTTTTTAGATACTTGATGAAGTGGTGTTGCTGACTTGAGTCCATAAATTCCCTTTGTAGTTGTTGAAGAGAGTGGGTAGCTATGAAGGTCTCCAGAGAATTAAGGAGAGAGGTTTTCACTTGGGACTTCTGCCGTTCTGCCTGCAGCATCCCACTGACATCTTCAATCTCACAGAATCATAGGATGGTTGAGGTCAGAAGGGATTTCTGCATCCTGTCCAACCCCCTCTTCAAGCAGGGATGTCTAGAGCATGACCAGATGTCTTTTCAGTGGCTCCAAGTAGGAGCATCTCCAACTTAGATGAAGGAATCTCTATTTTTCATACTCAAGCACAAGTTCAGCACGTAAGTTAGGTAGTTTGGATCCCACTTTTGCTTCATACATTTCCGTGCATGTTTGATTAAAATATATATAACCTTATGAATTTTTATGTAAAGAACTGTGGTGCAAGAAGGGACTTTATGCTTTTGACAACATTTTGATGTAATTTTCTGAATGCTATATATGAGAGGGAATTCGCAGAAGCAGAAGTGATTTTCTGTGTTTGAGTTGTTGTTTTTTTTTTTCCTTCAAAAGACACACATGCAAAATTTGAAACATTATACATAAATTAGAGTATCAGAAAATGTGAATTTCCAAAACCAATTTTGGTAGTTGCTTAAGCTGGTAGTCTGAGGAGTGTTCTCCCTGAAGATATGAAAATGCTCTATGTATTGGAAAAAATAATGGTTTGTGATAGTTCATGCACACTCTGGTATTGAATTGGAGAAGAAAGTATTGTTATGGGTTTGAACAAGGCAGTGGGACCAAATGGCCAAGAGCCTGAAATTGAGAGCTTTGCAAGGGGGAGATGTAAGTCCACTTGATCACTTTGCCCTTGCATTATACTTGCTAAACCAAAAGGACCCTCCCCATAGAGAAGCGAGGGATGAGAACTGCTTGTCAAAAGGAGGTTCTCATGGTCTTTGAGCACCATTTGGGGTACAGAGGTGTCTAGGGGACAGAGACCTACTGCTGGGAAACCAGTCAAACCCAATAACTTGAATTTTGCATGCAGTTTTGTTCCGATGCTGAAATCAATGTAAGGTTTCTTCATAGAATCATAGAATCATAGAAATACCCTGGGTTGAAAAGGACCACAATGGCCATCTCATTCCAACCCCCTGCTATGTGCAGGGTCACCAACCAGCAGACCAGGCTGCCCA